TGCCCTCCAGAAGATAATTCCAGCATTTCTTGTGTCCCCCCTCATATCTCTTAGATGCAATGTACAAACACAGTAAGAAACTCATGCTATCTGGAGCTCTTCATAGAATTGTCAGCCTGGACACTGGTAAAGTTGATGTTCCCCCTCCCCGCTTCTTTAAAATAGTACTTGATTCTTGTATTGCTTGGCTAAACAACCCCAATTTTTAAATTCTTCCCCAGGATGTGGTTTCAAAATCCTTGACCCCCCTGGTTATTCATCTCAGGACATTCACTTTGGGTGTTCTCTTATACCATTTTACCCATTTACAATACATTCTACGAGTTCTTCTTTGCTAAGAATTCTAGAACCAGACTAGGAGTGGCATTCAGTGGAGAGGCCATGGTACATCTGTCAGGCTTGTCCTATCTCCAGGCAGGACATGACACTGGCAAAACTATTAGACTCTCTTTCTTAGAGCTTTATCATTTTGACTCTTCTATTCCTCAAAGCAAAAAGTTATTCAGCCACTATATCTCCTGAATTTTGGTTATCTGTTTGCTTGTGGGGTTTTTTTTTTACATTTTTATTTATTGATTAGAGAAAGAGAGACATCAATTTGTTATTCCATTTATTTATGCATTCATTGGTTGATTCCTGTATGTGCCCTGACTGGGAACCCAACCCTCCACTCTGATGTATCAGGTTGTTGCTCTAACCAACTGAGCTACCAGGCCAGGCCCTGGCTTTTTTAAACAGTAGTATTAAATGTAGAATGCTATTTAATGAATATCATTGTCACTTAATATGGCAAGAGCCACTGTGGCTCAATATCAATGCTGGGCCTTTTGAGCTTCTGTAATTCCAGTATTCATGTACTATAGCATTTAGGGTAGAAATTACCCAAATTGGTTTTTGCCTCAGTAAAGGTCCACAGCTGATTACCAGCCTGGTGTTCCAGTCAAATAAGATAAAAACCATCAAGTCTTCCCTAAATTATATGTGTTAGTATAATTTACTATCATCCTCCAAGAATCCAGCTATTTTTGCTGTTTTTGTTGTTTTTTTTTCTGGTGTTTTATCTTAATCACATGGCCATGATGAAGAAGGCAACCAACCCATACTTTGGTTTTAGCTTCATTAATAAGAAATGCTAATTTCACAATGAACTGTCTGTGGTGATCGCCATCTGATAGGAAGGTAACCAAAAATGGAAAAACTTCAGCTGTGGGCTGAAGTCCTACGCTATCTCTGATGTTACCTTCAGTTTCTGGTTACATACTTGGGGTCTACTGGAAAAAGTCTTTAAAGCGGCCTTGGCTTCTCACAAGGTCATAAATTTCTGTTATTATAGATAGATTGGCAAACTTGGAATAATAACTCTATTTGCCTTTGGTGATAGGAGAAAGCCTACTGTGAGGAACAAACTCTATCAGTTCACAATGGTCTATTAAACATCTCTTGAAAAGTACAACATTGTGCCTCAAATTGCTTTAAAAATGAGGTTGGATTTAACAGTTCTCCTTCCAGTTGGAGGTGCATAATGTGTTTCTTCTTTTATTACAACTCCAAAATGTTTTTGTTTGCTTCCACTTTTCATCTCTTGAGCCACTGCATGACTACTGACAGTAGGCAATTTCTACATCTGTTATCACGATAGCATTACCTTGGATCACAGAGCATACATGTCCTACATGTGAATCGATTTGGCTTTTCCAAAGGGTTTTGGGAGCAGTTATTTGATTTGAACATTTAAGCTTAGTTCTCTTTAGTATTGATGCTGATTCTTCTACACAGCTCGTTTGTCTTTTCAGAGTACTTTAAATGTGAGGTTTTATTGCAAAACATTAATTTTCTTTAATGTCAAAGGTTTACTCTCCTTCTCTCTCTTCTAATATTATGTATTTAACTCTGTAGTTTGTACAGGTCACTACAGAGAACAGCTGAGGTTTGGACCTTTACCCAATTTTAATAAATGTATTTATTTAGGACAGACAGGAAGTGTTTCATGCACGGTAGGGGCTGAGCAAATAGTGCTGCTGATTTGGGGTGTTTCTAGCTGCCCTGCCCTGTATGTTTTCAGAGCCGGGATGAGGTGGTGTAGCTTCTTTTTCCCTAGAATTCCAGAGCCATGCCTTGTTTTGAACTCTCTTTCTTTGGACCTCTCCACTCTCTTTTTCAATTTGTAATCATTTCCAGCATCTTATATACTTCTGACTTTCTTTAAATATTGACTTTCAGCCCATAACCCCCAGCCCTCATCCCTGTCTTTGATAACCTCATGCCTGCTGGATAAAATACAACACAAATGTAAGCAAACATCCAGTGAGCTGTTCAGTCCCAGCTTCCATTTCTTTCCTTTTCTATTAAATAACTTTCACTGCTGTGGTACATTTTGTCCTCCCAACATGATCCATGTTCGTAGTACTTTGTAGGCAATGCAGACAAACAAAAAGCAGAAAAATATAAGTGGCTTATTTTCTCCCACCCAGAATTAATTGCTGTTAGTATTTTTATCTGTGTGCCAATGTATATGAATGTGTGTAGAGGCAACAATTCACATGCATACTGTTTTGCCCCATAAAAATGAAACCTGATGTTTTAACCCCAAATTTACATTCATATAAATGTATGTGACAATGCCTCCATGTTTAAGACATTCTACACTGTTTTGTTTTGTCTGCATAATGTTTCATTATAGAGCTGTTTCTTCTATTGTTGGACATTTCTGTTGCTTCTGTTTTCCTACAAACTCTCTGAAACCCTTGTAGCTCTGCCCATGTCCATGACTATTTCCTCATACTGTACATTATGGAGGTGGACTTGCCAGCTCAAAGTGCATGGAGAATGTTAAATCACCCTATCTTTCTCCCTTATCTCTTATCACCTTCTGCTCTAGCCTAACTAGTCTAACTGCCTGATCTTCTTTCTCTTTAACCTCACACCTGCCCCTATCCTCTCTGGTATGTTTTGAGTGGCTCATACCTTGAGTCATTCTTGGAATGCCCCTTTCAGGATTCTTACCTATAGAAATTCTCTCTTTTGTTTAAGACTCAGTTGAAGTCCCTGAAGCACTTGTTAGCCATTCAGCTCATAAGAGTTTCCCTGCTCTTATCACACTGTGTCTCTACCACCTAATTGAGCACCTTCCTCCATAATAAGCAATATAATGCGGCATCTTTCTTTCCGTGTTTGTCTTATCTTCCCAGTAACAGTCTTAACTCTATGGTGTAGGCATTCTTAACTTCAAAGCTATACTTAATAGGTTAAGTAAACACACGACTTTTATGGTCAACCTCCACAGATATCTCTGCACTTCTCTGTCTACTGGGAACACCTGTGTGCATATTTAGTGGTTGACTTGGCTTCTTTTGCCAGGAGTTCCTACGACTCCTTTCCAGTGGAGGGGCTGTCTCATTGGCACCTGGGAGGAAAAGCAACATAATTGTGTTTTTTGTTTTCTAACTATTCATGGTTTAATTCATAATCAACCATCTATAGACTCATTCTTGGCAATTTATCGAGAGAGATTTTGAACATGCTTGAGGCTAGCCTGATAGCCTGTGGACTTTTGAGGTTGGTGTAAGGGGTTGTTGTGTGTGGACCTTTTACATATTAAAACAGGCACTTTTTAAATTCCTCTATTCCTCAAGGGAACATTTTTATTTTTCAGGATTATAGCAGTGACAAAAATGTACTGGGAAATAAACCACTCCAGACTGGACTTGCTCTGCCTTATCTTTTTCATCATCAGATTGTCTGCAATCTGTCTTTTTTTGTGTGTGTAGGTGACAGGTTATTAAGGAGATGGTTTTAGCAAGCTATCTAGTACTTCTTTCCCTAGGCATTTGCACTGTTTTAATCCTCACCTCCCTTAAAATGGTTACTTGCTAGGACAGTGGAGGGTATTCTCCACCTTCCAGCTACCCATTCTACTTCTTTGGTTCACAAAGAAAGTGTTCTATTAGGCTCTACAAAAACAATGCTTCCTGCCTGGCCTGTTCACTCAATAAGAAATAAATCATTGTTTTCATAGCCAGGCCTGATAATAAGGCAGATTTCAAAGCGTGATGAAACGTATACTTTTCTAGCAGAGAAAAACCTATAGTTACCTGGCTAATTACCCATCACGTGATGGCTGTGTGTAAATATAGGCTTTTCACATGTGCAGCTTCTGTGTGGGTTTCTATTTTTTTTAATTGAGAATGCTCATTTAGTTACCATTGTTTTATATTAATGTCTTCAATCAAAGATTTAGAAGAATGAGCAAATATAAAAGCTACCATTTTAGGGTGGCTTCTTTTTGACCTTTGTGGTATGGACTTTAAAATAAGACAGACCTGGATTCCAGTGCTTGCTCCATGAGCTCTATGACTTTAAAAATTGTGGTTCTGCTTTGATTGCTTATTTATGAGACAGTTAACAATACCTGTCTCATGAGACTGGGGAAGATGAGATTAGATCACCTGTGGGAGAGCACCAAGCTCATAGCAGCAGCACTTCATCAAGAACATTAGTTTCTGCCCTGGCCATGTAGCTCAGTGGATTAGAGCATCGTCCCCAATATATCAGGATGAGGGTTTGATCCCTGGTCAGGACACATGCAAGAATCAACCAATGAAGGCATAACTAAGTGAAACAACAAATCAATGTGTCTCTTTCTCCATTCCTCTCTCTAAACTCAATAAATAAAAATAAAGAACACTAGTTTCCTTTTCTCTTTTCTTTAGAAAAGTAAAGCTGACAAAGTGCTATTTTCTTCCCCAAGAAAGTAAATTGGACAATTCCAACCTAAAAGAATACCAAGATATAGATAACAGTAGTATGTTATCTTACAAACATTTGATTGTCTATTACAAGGCACTGAAACTAACTCAGGGTTAAATATGTCATGATCCCAGTTTTCTAAGAGTCCAGAAAACCTCGAGAGTCATTGTGAGAGCTTTTAATGTGATGTTGTATTTAATTCTCCATGCTAGAATTTACTTGTGTGTGTTGTCTTGTAAACCATCTGCTTATACTACCCCTGGTCACTCTTTAATCATAATTTGTATGTCATCCTTGTGAAGGGACCATGCTAATCTTCTCTGTATTGTTCCAATTTTAGTATATGTGCTGCCAAAGTGAGCACTCTTCAATCATAATTAACAGCTGATTCTACTTGGTCAGAAAATTTGGTGCCAGGACTTCAAATGCCCTTTGGGATATCACAAGGGAAATAGGTGAATCACTGGCCTCATTCGATTCTTCTCTGGCTATGAACTGGCTGTTCTTAGGGTTTATTGGATGTATTTTGGTAGGTGCATGGTACTTGCGTGTTTTGGGGATGGTCCAAACTGGAAATACCATTTGTCCTTGAGGTACTTAATTATTCCAAAAGAAACCAAAGCACACAGATAGGCCATAGTTTTGTGAGTCATTTTCTCTTGGAGGTCACGAGCAAGAATTTTCAATGTCCATCAGGACAGCCTGTATTATGCTCTAGTAAGAAACATGTTCAGTATCACAGTGGCTTAACATGAGAAAGGTTTATCTCTTGTTTATGCACAGTTCATTGTGGTGTACAGGATTCGACAGAAAAAACTTTCTCTCTGTGAGACTCCACCTTGGACCTCCCTATTGGCATGTGCTTCTAGATCAAAGGAAGGGGAATAAAGAGGTGGAGTGTGAAATACTAAATGTTTGCACTCAATAGTAACATGAAGTAACATGCATCACTACTACTCATATGTCATTAGTCAACAAAGTGATTAAGTCCATGGTCCTGTCTTACATCAAGGAGGATATATAATCCTAAAGCACTCTTAGAAGGAGAGGAAAATTGGACATTGGGTGGACATTTGTAATATCTCACAAATGCCCTTAGGATAATGGTAAATCTCACAGAATAATAAAATCTCAGGGTTGATCATCTAGTTATAAACCTCTAGTTATAACATCTTTCCTGCACTTACTACTGCTTAAAATGTCCTCTGCAGAAATCTTGACTATTCGACTTTTTAACATTTTCAGTGATTAGAGCTCATTTCTTTTATAAGCAGTTTCATTTCATCTTCAATCCATCTCTGTGTTAGAAATCACTGCTTTCGAGAATTAAATTTGAAATGCATGGCTTATAGTATAAACCATGTTACTAATGCTGTATACTATTGGTACTAATTCTGTTCTTGTAAAAACAGAGAGCAAGTCAAATTTTTCTTGTTCTTGAGAGTGTCTCAAATATTTGAAAACCGTTGCCTCTGCCCCCACTATTCCATTGTCGAGGAGGTCAACATCATCAGCCTTGACCCTGCGGGCCGTCTGTGGCTTAAGTTCTAGTTCCTTCACATTTCTGGTGGTCTTCACCTAGTGTCTCCCTGCCACTCTCTGAGTATAACTGTGTCTCTGTTTAAAGAAAAGATAGCTCTCCAACCTGTTTTTTTTCTACTTAATTTTACTTTATATGCTATACATGTAAAAATTTAAACCATTCAGCCGTCAAAGCCCTTCATTACCCATTTCCAGTTCCACTTTCTTTCCCCAGAATTAACACATCAATAACAGTTGGTGGTTATCCTCCAGTTGTCTGTGTGTGGACATGTGCTTTGTGTGTACAAATTGTTTTGCTTTAATAATAGGACCTTACTGTGTACATTATTTTGCAACTTGTTTTTTTCTGCTAACTGTTAAGTAACCTAGAACTGTGCTATCCAGTATGGTAGCCACTAACCACGTGCAGCTGTTAAGCATTTGCAACGTGGCTGCTGCAACAGAGAGACAAATTTTTAATTTTATTTAATTTTAGCGAATTTCAGTGTAACATTTAAAACTGAAGTGGTATAAAATATTTTTCTGTTAAACATAATTTTAATGTTCTGGTAGGACTATATATCACTTTAACTGTTCAATATTTAGCATGCAAACAAGATACTTTATAAGTATAAAATGCACACTGGATTTTTTAAATTTAGCATAAAAGAATATATATCTCATTAATAATTTTTATATTGGTCCCATGTTGAAATAATATGATAAATACTTTTGATATGTTGAGTTAAATAAAACATATTATTACAATTAAGTTTACCTTTTCATTTACATTTTTAATGTGGCTACTAGAAAATTTTTAATTATAGATGTGGCTTGCATTGTATTTATATTGGACAGCACTGATCTAGAGAGACTCGGATATCTACGATGTTTCCATACCCCTTTTATTCTGAAGTAGGGTCACTGTTGTGCACTGAGTGCTTAACAAGACCAGGGCACTCTTCTCACTCTGGAAGGAAGACAAAGATGAAAGAGACACCGTATTGCCCTCAGGAACTCGTAGCATCGCAGGGCAGACAGACACAGTGAAGTTATAAGATGGAGTTTAGCCAGTGCATGGATGAAGATATAAGCAAAGCGCACTAGGAGCATAGAAGAAGGTTCCTGACTGCATGTGTTCCACATGAACAAACTTGTAAATGCTTAAAGAACAGGAATTATGACCTGTTCCTTTGGCAGGAGGCTCACATACATGATCATTGAGTAAATGAGGAGATCCCTATCCCGTGTAATCTCCCTGTTCCACCAGGATATTACTAGAAGTGAAGAATGTCATGGTCATCTCTGGCTCAGATCTTTTTGAAGGGCCTACTCATCCCCCTAGGAACTTGGACTAAGTTCAAACATGGCTTTCCAGACAGAATTCCTGTGCTTGCTGTTAAGTGCTGACCTTCGATATCTCCAGTGAATACACAGTAGTTCATATCAAGCTTGTCTAGTAAGCAGAAGTATGGATATTGTATATTCCTCATTAAAATTCTCAATATTTTGCCAGAGCTTTAGCACTTACAACCAAAAAGTGTTCTGAGATGTTAAAGGGAAGATAATTAAGCTTAAGGCTCTATACAATTTATTTAGATGTATAGAGTTTCATTTGTTTCATAACTATGAGGACTCTTCATGTCTACCAGTGCACGCTCTCCGGTAATAAAATGATATCAGTTGAAACTCAAAATCTTATGTTTTTATCCTCTTGTTGAGTGTCCTTAATTAATAAAAACAATATTTTCATGTCATATTCTTAGCTTGTGTTACCTACAAGCTAAGAAAAAAAGTTGGCAATTTTAGATTGCAAATGAGAGAACTTTTCCTTGAAAAATGTCCACTTTCTGCCTAGTTACATTATTCATGGTTACAAATGGCGCTAGTGTGGTTAACAAAATCAATTCACACAAAACGTTCTCCCAAAGACAATGTTAGTGGTGGATTTCACAAAATCAGAGAATTCATCTGGGCAGAGCTTTCTGGTTGAATAAAAAAATTTCTGTTGAAAATGTTTTAGGAGTGAGGATAGGGATAGTATAGACTCCATACTGTAGATGGTAGGTTCATGGTTTGGCAAGAGGTGTGCTGATAATTATCAGCTTTCCCACCCCCCAAAACTGTAACTTAGGACATAGGTCAATTGCCTGAATGTTCTGCTGTGAAATCCTCTGAGTCATGGGTTCTTAATCAAGGACTGATAGGTAAATTTTTGTGGGGATGGCTAACCACCCCCCAAGCCCCAAGTTTTCATATAGAATTCTATATATAAATAAATATTTTCTTGGGAAAATATTCATAGCATTCATCTGATTCTGAAAGGGGTCTATGATGATAAAAAGTTATATAAAATACATTTTTATGCCTGATTATTAGTTACCCTTCTCCCCAAAAAGCCACCCTTCAGGCATTTCCACCAAGTGTGTTTACTGTATTTTCCTGGTTGACCCTGTATATGAGACAGTGGGGAAAAGGCAGTTGGATTCACCTGTTCTGATGGTACTTACTTAACCTTTGTAGGTGGGAGTGGCATGGATAACTTTGAGAACCTAAAAACACTCTGAACTTCCTACCCAGAATACGTTTACATCTACAAAGTTGAAATCACATTTGAGGACATTCATGGATGTCCTCTGAAAATTGGTCTTTGAATTCTTTGTTAAAGACTGCTGCTTGGTTCCCTGGAAAAAGTATGAAATTGCTATGCTGTGAAGAAGCAGCATGAGGATGCTGTGTGTCTACCCACGAGGTTGGTGGGAATCCACTTTCCCATGCAAGAGCTTCTGGTTTTCAAGCTTGTGTGGGAAGGAAGGACATGCCTCTCTCATCTCATGTACTTATTGTTTCTATTTTCAAATTAGAAATTTTGACAGCAGGGATAAACAATCAGGAATTCTTATTTTCTGTTGTCTGGATAATCTGGATATGCTGTGGATACTTTATATGTTTATTAGCTACTTTCTGTTTAGAGTGCTCTAAAGAGGCTTGCAATATCAGGAAGCCCTCTGGAAACTCCTTTTGATGAGGCAGAGCATCCTTTTATAATATAGATATATTTCATATAGCTTAATTTTTATATATCACATTTTCATAAAACATGGCCTGCCTATGGATTCTTTTGAAAGCCTTTTTGTCAAATCGACCCAATGGCCACTTCTGACAGCAATTTGTTTATGATAAGAATCAATCTCATGGTCAATATTCTAAATATTTATAGAATAACTTTTTTTTCTTTGAGAGCTCTGTATATTGTTTGTGGGTCTAAATTCCATCTATTTCCTGGAAGCATGAGTTAAAACCCAAGATTAGAAGCCTTTTTAAAAAAATTCTGCTCAAGACCCCATCTGCTATTTACTAGACTAATCTACTTCCAGGGAAGGTCATGAGGGTCCCTCACGTATCCCAGTCTTTAAGGTACTGTCTGGCATGTGGTAGGTGCTCGATCCGTATGTTGAATGGATAGTTGTTGACTGGGCTTTAATCTTATACCTGGAGGCAGCATAATATGTGGTAGCTCTCTGGCAGACCTGGACTTGAACCCTGGATCCCCAAACTTAAAAAAATGTGTGTAATTCCTACCTCCCAGGAATATGTTGTAGGATTTAATAACATATTGAATTCCAAATGCTTAAGAAAGTGTTGGCACAATAAACTACTTGATAAATGGTAACATTATTAAAATCGTAGGCCTTAAATTAGAATAGTCTAGACTTCAATCATTTACAAACCAATATCACAATTTTTGTCACATCACCAACTCCCTATTTTATTATTGACTTAATATTTTTCTTTAACTTAACTGCTTTTATACATAAACAATTTTATGTAATAGGAAATTTT